TGACCCTTATGACTGGTTTTGTGGTCCAGGGTCACATATGTCCAAACCCCTCTGATGCATGGCGTCCTCTAAAGTGCACCAGGGTCATTAGAGTTAACTAAACCTATAAAAACTAATTTTGTGACTTCAAATAAAATAAACAATATTTCTAATTTTCTTTAGATTGATGATGTATAAAATAAAAACCAAAAATTTAATATAATTAAAAAAAATTATTTATAACTAATAAAAAGGACAAAAACTCTACTAAATTACTCAAACTTTAAAATAAAAAAAATAAAACAATAGTTACTAAAAGATACTAAAAGAACAATGGAGTGTACAGAACTTTATTATATCTAAACTAAAAGACTGCCACCTTCATATGATAAGAAATGATTTGTAGACTCTGGCAAGGCTAAGCTTGATATTCAGTAAGACAGTATAGCAGCTGATTGTGAGCATACCAGTTGCATGGTCCATCCAAGGATACTGCCAACCTTTGGACTTCGAGAACTGTCTCTCCTTCTTCTGTTCCTTGGAGTCTGTGAGGTGAAATATGCAAGTAATATGACTGATGCACACTCACAAGTAGCTCTGCACAGAATTTTCACTCACAGAAATCCTTTCTGATTTCCATGGAATTTGAACACAATCATTCACAACATCCCCTTCCTTGAGCATATTTATTTAAAATAAGTCATTATTTTCTCACAGTGTCCTAAACATCCCCTTCCTCTTGTTTGTTTATTAAAAGAATACACCAAATAAATAAAAAAAGTTATAATTTTCTCAGTCTCATGTCATTCCATTCATTTAAAATTTACTATCCCAACTGCCAGAGCTCTAGAACTTAATTCACTTAATTCATGCATGTGATATCAAATGACACTGAAAGCGATGCACTAAGTTTGAATATTGCGAAGTGTAAATGAGATTTGAGAGTGATGGTGGAAGAAAAGAATGTCATATACTGTAGATCTGATGAGTAATCAAAAAAAATTCGTAAATAGTGATAGAATGTTCATATGTGGGTCAACCAGCATTTGAAATATTCTTGCTAATTTGATGCTTTCAGCTACCTACAAGAGTATAATACTCTGTTTAATGCACTTTACCGTATTAAAATCCATTCCATAGAATTCCAGATTTTTCCACACAATCGGAACCACAACAATTAAAGGATGTTACACCACTTACCATATTGTGATGCCCTGACCGGCCGGAGCATAACATAAAACCATGTCTGCATTTGTGATCGGAGAAAGGACAAACAACAAGTGCTACTCTACACTGCCCAAAAAACTCGCGTTTGAATCATCAGTGGCAAATTCTTTAAATATAAAAAACGTACTTACAGTCTATGAGTCAGAACAGCCGGCATTGTAGTCTACTCTACCAGGATCAGGAAACAGTCCTCCATAAAATGTGCTGGACACATCAGAATATTTGGGTTAAACTGTTCTGGAACAGTGTTGTAAATACAACTTAACCACTGATTTCTAGTCGTGTCCTCTTTTGGAAGGCCAAACAAAGTAGTTTCGCTTTCACAACGAAAAAGCGTCACACACCGCGGCCTTGAATTAGCGGAGGCCGGAGGCCTAGAGTATGCAGAGGCTGGCTTGAGTGAGCAGAGGCGGGCGGGCTTGAGAACGGCGCGGCCGGCAGATTCGACGATGGAGCGTCCAGCGGGCTTGTAGTTATTTCAAACCACAGCTTATCAAAGTTCTATTAGTTTAAATGGTAATGCATTTGAACCTGATGGCTGCTCCTCTATATCTGAAGTTTTACGTCCCTCTTTATATTTCTGCTGTTTGTCACGTATGCGTTTCATCCTGAGGAAAAATAAAGATAGAACATATAGAGTGACTAGAGCTCAGGAAGGACATAGTGAGAGTTTTTGATTGATTTATTGATTATGGTAAAAAAAGGACAAAGTGTTAACTCACGATTCCTTTAGCTGCTGAATTGACTTCTTCTCTGCCTGCTGATGGAAATGCATGTTCTTTATAATACTGGCTCGGAACAGCTCGAAACCCCTTAATGCACACACACATGAAAAATCAGGTCAGAAAATACATTTTATATGTTAGAAATACCCTAACTTATTCACTAAATCACTGTTTTTGTTGTATTCCACTCAACTTTGAAAGTCGAAATTTTTGAACTTTTCATACTTTGTAAAGTGCAACACAATGCCAATTGAAGTTAGACTTCAGGATGAAAACCTTTGAATTCACCTTGGCCTAGATGCATTTATTATGCCAAAAAACAAAAAACAAAACAAAAACATGGCGGCCTCCATGGAGGTGTACGCAGTTAATGATAAACATTCAAGCTAAAAAATTATTGCATAATAATAATAATAATAATGAATAAATTATTTGCACAGATGGTATAATTTAACTTGCCTGTTAACAATCGTTCACTTGAAATAAAAATGCTAGCATTGCTATTTCGCTTCTTTATACATCATCTTCAGAGAATCAGACAAGAGAAGACTAGGATTGTAAGTCAGATGTATCAAGTAGGAATTTCTCACTCCTGGCTTTGAATGGAATGGACAGCGCGAGTTGATCCTCAGCAGGATCAACGCACGCAAAGCTCCGGGTCCTGACAACATTCCTGGGCGTGTACTGAGAGACTGTGCAGTGGAACTCACTAATGTCTTCACAGACATTTTCAACATCTCGCTAAGTCAGGCAGTTGTCCCCACATGCTTCAAAGCTACCACCATCATTCCAGTCCAGAAGAAGCCGTCTCCATCCTACTTCAATGACTACCGTCCAGTTGCAGTTACTCCTATTCTCATGAAGTGCTTTGAAAGGCTAGTCATGCACCACATCAAGTCTGTCCTCCCCCGCTCCCTGGACCCCTTCCAGTTTGCATATCGGTTCAACCACTCGACCGATGATGTCATCTCCACTGCCCTCCACTCAGCACTCACACATCTGGACAAAAAAGGCTCATACGTCAGAATGCTGTTCATAGACTTCAGTTCAGCATTCAACACAATCATCCCTCAACAGCTCATTCACAAACTGGTCCAGCTGGGGCACAATCATCCCTCAACAGCTCATTCACAAATTGGTCCAGCTGGGGCTCAACACTTTACTACTAACTAGTCAAGTAACACTAACTGGCTCTTGGACTTTCTGACTGGAAGACCTCAGGCAGTACAGGTTGGCAGCAACACATCCAGCACCATCACACTGAACAATGGGGCACCCCAAGGATGTGTGCTGAGCCCCCTCCTCTTCACTCTGCTGACCCACGACTGCACACCGTCACACAACTCCAACCTCTTCATTAAGTCAACTTTGAAGATCGTTGGTGTCTCTCTCCCCACCCTCCAGGACATTTATGGAACCCGTCTCACCCGCAAAGCCCTCTGCATTGCAGGTGATCCCACCCACCCGACACACAGCTTCTTTAGTCTGACTGCGGAGTCTCCAGGCCAGGACCAGCAGACTGAAGGACAGCTTCATCCATCAGGCAGTCAGGAAGCTGAACTCCCTCCCGACCTTGCCCCCCCTCCCCTCGTTTGCCCCATGCACCACTGAACTCTGACCCTCAGTCACTTTGTCACTTTGTGCAGCATTGGTCTACTCACTAACTCATTCAGCATTGAACTGACCTCATTCAACTACCTCTTCTGACAGTTTAAATAAAGAACTGCTCTCTGAGCTTTTTGTCACTTTAATCAAAATAAGCTCTTTTGCACTACAATCATTATATCTGCACTGTTTGTTTACTTCACTGGTTTGCACTCTATCTGCCATGTGCCTTGTGCTGCTTTATATATTTTTTTGCATTTTACCCAGACTGAATAAGCTCTTTTGCACTACAATCATTATATCTGCACTGTTTGTTTATTTCACTGGTTTGCACTCTAACTGCCATGTGCCTTGTGCTGCTTTATTTATCTTTATTTAGCTTTTTTTTACATGTCCTTATTTGTATATTTGTATAGTTGTATTTTATATTTAATCTGTATATATCTGTATTTTTATGTTCTACTGTTAGTGTTATCTGTGTGCACCAACGTGAGCAGCACCAAGTTCCTGGGTGTGCACATCACAGAGGAACTCTCCTGGACTGACAACACCTCAGCACTGGCCAAGAAAGCACAGCCCCCATCATGTGCACCTTCTACAGAGGCACTATCGAGAGCATTCTGACGAGCTGCATCACTGTGTGGTATGGTGCCTGCAACGCTTATGTTCTACTGTTAGTGTTATCTGTGTGCACCAAGGGTATGAGAGTAACGCAATTTAAATTCTCTGTATGTATGCGCTGTACATGTGGAAGAATTGACAATAAAGCAGACTTTGACTGAATACATGAAATAACTACCCTTTCTAATGTGTGCAGCAGGGGGCGAACTTACTGAGAGGCTTGTCGTGCTGATGCTTGAAGATCTGCAGTTACGTGCACGAAATGAAAACTGAGGAAGACTCTCCTCTGAAGCAGGAGGAAGAAGAAACAGATACTGTCCCAGATAATGCCAGCTTCTTCCACAGGCAGCGAGCATTCTTTATCAAACACTGAATTAGCTGAGGAAGAAACACATACACACAAAAAAGATTACATCTGACTGTACTGTGGTCTGTGATGTGGTTTGTTCCAAGATATTTAAAATGTTGTGCACATGCCCTAGAAAAATATTTCAAATGGTGGAAAAAAAGGATCTCATCTCATACATGTGCATTTTAAAGACAAGCATTGGCCTGCTGATTCTGTTCATTTAAGAACCATGTTCTCCTCGTTACTACAAACACTTAAACCTTACACAATACCTTACACAGTAAATTATATTTAAGTCAAGTAAATTTAACTTGTGTTCTGATTGGTCAATTACCACACTAAGCAGGCAAATATTTTTATATAATACATTTCTTTACATGATATTTCAGTGTTCAGTGAGAACATAACAGCACATCTATGTCTCACAAGACACTGCGCTCTCTTTTTATATTAACACAAATTTGGAATAATTAATTGCCACCATCTTGTGAGTCCTTACTTAAATATTTTTACTATAGACAAAAACAACGAATTTTGTAGTTTCTATGTAAAATAATGTAACAATGTACTAGGGCTGCACCCGACTAAAGATTTTTGTACTTGACTAGTAGTCAACTAAACAAGCGATCAGTCGACTAATCACACGTTTATATTAATTTAATGAATTAAATATATACTGGGGGGTGGAGAACTAAACCATAATGAGCCTTTAATATATAGCCTATTCGGTACTCAAGCGCACACATAGAGATGGCTGCAAAGCACTGGCAAAAATAATGACTATGTGTTGGGAAAACAGCATGGAGATATTTTAATTATTTATTAATAAACTAGTGCTTTCTCAGTCAGTGAGCTGGCTGCAAAGATGAAGTGGTCGATGCTGACACGCCATCTCCGCAGTACAGTGGACGCGCCTATAGAGAGAAATACACCTTTCATATGGATTGCACAGTCAGAGAGTTTTGAGTTTAATTAGTTAAACTAGACATAAACTAGACATTTCAAGCTTTCTGTAGATATATTTCTCACATCTGTGAGGCAAGCAGCCTATACGCTGAGTTTTGCCGCGCTTGAGTTTTGTGCCGCACTCCAGTGCATGGAGACAGAGATGACAGAAAGCGTGTCCTGTTTGTTTTCTTTATCTTACAAAAGCATGTCTTGTTAATATTGTAAGTGTTAATCTGTATGAGCAAAAATTACTGCGTATTTTGTTTCCACTGTTATCAGGAAAAAATGCCAGTGATCACACTGGTGCCTCCATGTCATGCAGTAAGATCGCCTAATAGCTTCCACACTCCGCACTAACACTCGGATATGCGCCTAACCTTTAGTCGACTATTAGGGGAACAGCCCTACAATGTACTTGACAACAAAGTGGTACACTGTGGGAACAAAATTTGGGAACCACTGCTCTAGGACAACCCAGAAGTAGTGCAAAACTTACGGTCATAGTAGCCTTTGACTGTGCACACCAGACTGAAGAGCTGAATCACCCAGCAGAAGTTCTTCTGCATCTCCAACACAAACACACAGGCCAGGATCTAAGACAAGAACAGATATGTTCTCTTTGTAGCTGTTTGGCTTAGGATCAGTGAGTCTACTCAATGAAGGACTGCTCACTCACAGACAGGATGTTCTTGGAAATGATCACAGCCACATTGTACATGATCAGACAGTCCCACATGACCAGACGTGTACGTGATGGCTTGATCAGCAGCCGTGTGCCGAAGAGCAGGAAGAAGAAGCAGGCCATAAGATACCCCAACCCAAACACACTGATCCGAGTGGCTCCGGTCACAAACACCACTGACAGCACAAACCAGAACATGTACCGGAACACCAGGACCTTTGCCATGTCCAGATAGGACCTACAGTACATAGAGAGAGGTACACAGATGTTATTTTTAACACAATAAATGAATGAAGAAAATAGTTCCTAAAAATTATAAAATATAACAGCTTAGTTGTAATCAGAGCTGCTGCCAGAGCAAGGGGGGTTCGGGTGGTGAGCGTGCAATCTGCAATCGCGTGCAGTTGCTTGTCTAAAAATGTACCAAGATGTAGTTGAACTGTCTTTATCTAAACAGATTTGGAGAAGTTTAGCATTACATCACTTGCTCGCCAATGGATCCTCTGCAGTGAATGGGTGTCATTAGAATGAGAGTCCAAACAGCTGATTAAAACATCCCAATTTGACTCCAGCCCATCAATTAATTACAAATGTCTTTGTAAGAAATCCATCAAGATGTTTTTAACTTCAAACCATTGCTTCTGGCTAAAGTCCCCTATCCGTAAAATTGCTTTATCCAGTGAAAATAGTTGTCTCGTCTGAATCAGGAGAGAAATATGCAGAGATCAAGCACCGTTTACAAGCGAAAACAGTTTATAACAGTTCTAAACAAATGCAGTATGCCACTGGATTTTGTTGTGAGAGGACAACAGGGGATGGACTTTGTCACTGAAGGAAGCGTTATTACAGATTTTATCCAGAAGCAACAGTTTAAAGTTAAAATGCCTCAATGATGGATCTCTTTTTTACAAACACACAGCTTTTCACAAGATATTAATTGATGGACTGGAGTTATGTGGATTACTTGTGGATTATTGTGATGTTTTTATCAGCTGTGTGGACTGTGTGGTCAGTGCAGAGGACCCAATAGTAAGTGCTGTACTGTATTGCAATATTTCTTCAGTCTGTTCTGTTCTGACAAAACAAACTCATCTACATCTTGGATGGCCTGAGGGTGAGTACATTTGCAGCATTTATTTTTTATTTTTGGGTGAATTATTCCTTTAAAGCTCCTTATGCACTAGGTCCATGACAAATAAAGCTGTTTTTATTTCTCATTCTTTACTAAAGTACACAGTACACACTATGTGTTACCTGCAGTTGATGAAGTTTGGGGCTGGGTTGAAGGGCATATCCTCCATGGGGTCAGGTTTGTCTTTGTTCTCTCCTCCCATGACCATCCACTCTTCCTTTTTCTCATTTTCAAACACAGCCCACTGCTGAGAGGCACACATCAGCAGAAGGAAGTCCGCTGCAACAGAACATTTTGTAAACATTTTATGTATTTTGGAGGGGCCTCAGATTACACTATATCTACCTTATTTTTCAAAGCAGAATTCAATAGCCGCTAATGATAAATAACCAGAAGAACAGCAGAGCAGTAACAAATGGTGAAACTATTTCCACTACAAACCAGTGTTTTTATGATTCTGACAAGATAGATAGATAGATAGATAGATAGATAGATAGATAGACAGACAGATTTACCATTTAGATTACCATTCTGCAAAATTAAGCAGGATAAAAAAAAAACGATTTGACACAGTTAAAAATATGCCCACTCTTATTTCTCATTTACTCACCCCCATGTCATCCAAGATGTTCATGTCTTTCTTTCTTCAGTCGAAAAGAAATAAAGGTTTTTGAGGAAAACATTCCAGGATTTTTATCCATATAATGGACTTCAATGGGGATCAAGGGGTCCAAACTGCAGTTTCAGTGCAGCTTCAAAGGGCTCTACATGATCCCAGCTGAGGAATAAGGGTCTTATCAAGCGAAACGATCAGTTATTTTCTACAGAAAATAAAAATGTATATACTTTTAACCACAAGTGCTTGTCTGGCACTAGCTCTGCGATGCGCGACTACAAATTCACGTATTACGTAATCCCGTTGCAAAGGTCACGCACGGTTAGCTCTTCGTCTGTGTACTCCAGTTCAGAAAGGTAGTGTAGGGAGAAAAACTCCTCTAACATCAACATCATCCAACATCGTTGTTTTACCTTTTTTTCTAAAGGGCGTTTGACTTTCTTTGCACGTTCACTTTGTAAATACTGGGTCAGTGCTTCCGCCTACGTCACACGTGACCTTTTCAACGTGACTACGTAATGCGTGAGGTCGAGCTAGTGCATGATGAGCATTTGTGGTTAAAAAGTATATAAATTTTTCGTTTTGCTAGACAAGACCCTTATTCCTCGTCTGGTACAGTGTAGAGCCCTTTGAAGCTGCATTGAAACAGCAAATTTGGACCTTCAACCTGTTGGTCCCCATTGATGTCCACTAAATGGAGAAAAATCCTGGAATGTTTTTTTTCAAAAATCTTAATTTCTTTTCGACTGAAGAAAGAAAGGCATGAACATCTTGGATGACATGGGGGTGAGTAAATTATCAAGAAATTTTTATTCTGGAAGTGAACTAATCCTTTAACATCCAACCATCTTTCATAATCTAGTCAATTCTCCATGGATAAAGTTTTACATTTTTACATGGTTTTATTTTGGAAGTGAGCTAATCCTTTAAGCCTCACCTAAAACTGAATTTAAGTCACTGTATTTGATAAACTAGGTTTTGATGTTCGTTTGGGTTTAAATGATAAAACAACTGTTCTGTTCAAAACAGAACACTGAAAAGTCATTGTTCTTAGAAAAATTCTAGAACAATTTGTTTGCAGATGCCACTTGATTTGATATTTTATAGTCCAATGTAACAGCAGTCATACATTTTTTAATTTGGCTTAAGTGTCCATATACGTTTTGAGGCCATTATAGGTAGGATAACTGGTGAGTAATTATATTGCTGTTCTGTTGGTTGTTCAGTTGAAGGTGTCACTTACATATGAGGTTCCTAGAGTTGGGGATGGTGTAGAAGTCAGGTAAGTAGATCCATTTAACCAGAGCTGAATGGACAGTTACAGATGTTTTCCATCTCCAAGGGTAATCTATAGCCATGTGAGACAGGTCAGGTTACTTACCGAGAAAACTTGTATTAATACTAAGCAGCATAGAAAGCACAGACAATTAATCTGTGGTAATTGTTGGTCACTGTACACATGCATCAGACAGCTGTCTATAGATGGTCGCCGTGATTTTGCCAAGTAAGACATGTTCCTGGATCAACATTTTTGTTGATCCTGGATCAACATTACTGTCCAAAAATATAGACCTAACCCAATCCCTTCCCCTAAACCTACCCATAATTTATTCCTAAAATCAGAGGGACATGATAGGTGAATAACAAGGGTGTTGAAGCATCTAACTCTGATTGTAAGCCTAAAACTGACATTTCTTGAAAACTTATCCCTCAATTCTGATTGGTTGATTGGAATGTTGTTCCAGGATCAACAAGGATGTTGATCCAGTTACATGTTGTAATTGGTGAAATCACATTCCCCATCTATAGATATTGCAGTGGTTTTGCTGTTACGCACCATAGCTGGCAGCCAAGCTGACTTACACTGGTTTTAGGTCAAATAAAGTCAAGTCAAATTTATTTGTATAGTGCTTTTCACAATACACATAGTTTCAAAGCTTTACAGAAAACGTCAAAAATATAGACCTAACCCAATCCCTTCCCCTAAACCTACCCATAATTTATTCCTAAAATCAGAGGGACATGATAGGTGAATAACAAGGGTGTTGAAGCATCTAACTCTGATTGTAAGCCTAAAACTGACATTTCTTGAAAACTTATCCCTCAATTCTGATTGGTTGATTGGAATGTTGTTCCAGGATCAACAAGGATGTTGATCCAGTTACATGTTGTAATTGGTGAAATCACATTCCCCATCTATAGATATTGCAGTGGTTTTGCTGTTACGCACCATAGCTGGCAGCCAAGCTGACTTACACTGGTTTTAGGTCAAATAAAGTCAAGTCAAATTTATTTGTATAGTGCTTTTCACAATACACATAGTTTCAAAGCTTTACAGAAAACGTCATGTTAATATTAATAGCATCTTAATATCTTAATGCCTTATAGTCAAATTTAGCAGGGTGAAAATGCTACAAACAGTTGACATATGCTATATATAGAATATATCATCCTATGCGAGTATACCATGTTTGAATGAGGATAAAGTTAGATATGCTAGTGTACCCAATTTTATATAAAGAGCTGGGCAATAATATAGTTAGATTTAGCAAAAAAAAAAAAGAGATTTGCTATATAGTATATATCTCTTTATGTGAGTGTACTGTATGCATGCAAAGATTGGATATAACATATACCCAAACATTATATAGAGTTAATATAGTCACACTTTCCGATGATGTAACAATCAAGCGGTTGAGATTTGCTATATAGTACCTCACTTTACATGAGAGTACAGTATTTACCAGGGTAAGGTTGAAAAAACTGTATAATAGTTGTAGAATTTGTTATTAATTATTTATTTGTTAATTAAATCAAGTTAGAGGGGTTTTGGACACTCATTAAGCAGGACAGATTGAGAGACCAACAGCCCAATCAGCTAAACACCAGCTTGGCTGTTAAAAACAGTTAATCTTTTAAAAATGCATCTCAAGAGTCTTGTGTTCTGTTCATTTCCAGAACGTTTTTTTTAAACCAAGAACCCTACTTGTGTGAATGTCCAAACAAAACAAGGCTGTGCAACCCACATATTCCTTTAACGTTAAACAAAAATGATTGCTGTTAAAGTGATATGGTGATATTAATATTCAGCCAGACATCACAATTGTTTTGAATAGAGTGGTAGACTCACCAATACAGAGGGCAGGAGGGATGCCCACACAGAGAACATATTGGTATATCATGAAGACAACCAGAAACAGGCAGTATTTTGACCAGATCTTAGCCATGGCTGCTCTGCGCCGCTGCACCATGATGGCCACCAACCAACAGCCATGGATAATAACCAGGAAGTTCATACGCTGGCCAATAACATTCATAGTCATGAGGAAGCAGATCTAGAGGTTAAAGTGATGCACAAGTTGTCATTATATTTAATATTTGTGCTTTGATAGCAACTGATATTGAGAAATGGTTTGACATATCAATTCTGAAATATACATAAACATGCATATACAGTGGGTATAGAAAAGAATCACCCCCCTTTAAAACACAAATCACATTTTTGTTGCTTTGCAGCCTGAAATGAAGATGGACACAGTTTTTGTTTCATCCAGCTATATTTACTTAGTGCAACTTATAACATCCAAGTGAAAGATATAACACCAACATGTCAGAA